CAATAAGAGCAACGGAGTGCGTGACGTATGTTAAGCGAGGCATAGTTGTTGTCCACAAAAATCAAAGTGTGCAATTGCACACCTAGAATAAGAAGATGAGACTAGATCGCGTTTCTCTGTTCCTCTTTTAAAATTAATTTGCTGTCGATATCTTCTAGAACAGACCTAATAGCAGAATCTACTCACCTAAACTCTCCAGCGGCAGCCATTATTGTTGTCACCCAAGCGTGCATTGGTCACGTGGTTGATTACGTTACTGTTGGTCATCTGTCCATCATCGTATAAAGCCCGCCCTGACAATTTGATTGGATCGCCTGACAGTGGGCGATAATACTCGCGCTACTATGGAGCAGAGCCAGACCGAACTTCCTGACCTCAAACTTTGTGGGCGGGACTAAGTTCGGAATGGCACCCAGGCTAAGTACAACAGTGATAAATTGTAAGTTAATATAAAACACAAATATAGATTTAAGTACTAAATTTCAACCAGGAAAAAATTATTTCCTTCTGCATATACGGTAGTCTTTAAAGATTACAAATGCACTCCATTTTCTATTTCATTTTTATTACAAGTATATGGTTTACAACAGTTTTCAATGGGATGAGAACATTTGGACACTGTGAAACAATGAGAGATTTTTTTAAGGAACGTGTGGAAAAGAACAAGGATCTGTTTGCTTTCAGAGGAAGGAGTAGACACTGCTGTCAGCGACCAGTTTTCAAGCAAACGTTTGTGTTTTATTACCGGTATTAGTTTTAGATCAATATCACTGGCGATATTCTGCTATAACATGTGAAGTAAAGAATAAAACAGTAAAGCTCAACTTTTATACGCGTAAAACCTTTCAAATCTCAAGTTCTGCACGATGGAATTGAGGCGGAGTTAAGTCGGGTTGTTTTATCCTACTCCTTGCGCGCTCCTGACGAGGGGATACAAATTTTCCCAGGAATAACTACCTTGGCACGACACCGGTAGCTTCTAGCTTCGTTGCAGCATGTTGCTTTTGTAGGTGTTTCAACAGGTTACAGTTGCTGTTCTGGGCAGTAGATAGAATCTTTGATCCAAGGCACAAATTGTAAATTAATGAGAATATCTCCAAGTGAAGAAACTCGACTTGGGCTCTGCAGCAGCCGCCATGATGACTAGTGTTGGTAAACACAAACACGCCCTCAGCATGTTTCCGTCCTGTCTCCCTCACTCTAACACAGTGTTAAAGAAAAATGATTATTTTTAGTTTTTAATACAGTCAATCTTATGGCATGTGTAAAAGGTATGTTGAACACTCTCATTTTGAACATATTTCTTAATTTTGAACAAGTTTGTGAAGATAACCTTTCCTTGAACCAAATTACTGAATTTAAGTTTGTTCTTGAGAATTTATGGCAGGAAGAGGCCCCGCATTCCACAGCTATTCTGTGAGGTCTTATCTTATGTTTTCTTTAGCCAGAAGACCTTAGAATTTCTGGACGCCAGGCCGTAAATTAGGGGAAGTTCTAAGTTTCTCGGAGTGTCAGAGATAGCTCCTGGTTGGAGGAGCAAAAGCCAGCCTTATTTGAATAAATTAAATACAAGAGGATAAAACTTTCTATATAGAAGTAACAAATCAGATTTGCTCTTGCAACTCTCCAAAGATGTCTTTGCACGTCTTTGCTTTCTTTCCTTCTCTCCATTTATGTCAGGTAAATGAATGTATGTCTCCATTGTTCTGCAGTTTCTGGTGTAAGTTTTTGCATTGTCTTACTTCTAAGTTTATGCATTGTCTTATATTGGATTAAACTCTGTAATTCTGTGACGTCAACACGCATTGCTGGTTTTCCTTGTGGCCACACGCAGCTCGCCGGGAGGGCCGGGGATCCAAAAGGAAGAGAGAGAGCCAAACTTTTTCCAAGTTAACTATTTTAGAATATTTTCTTCCTTAACAACAGGAAGAAAATACTTCACTGCAGCTTTTAAGTCTCTAGCTGATCCCGAGACTCTAAAATAACGCAGTAACGCATCATGTAGTAATGTTAACGCGTTAGCGTACTAGTTAGTGAAAAAAATACAGCTGTTACAGTCCCAACACTGCACCCTCCTTGAAAATGTAGCCATTTAATTCTTGAAGTCAAAAGGATGAAAGACTCAAAGGGCCTCAAAAAAAAAAATCGATTCACAACTTATTAAATTACAGAAGTGAACAAAAAATTTATCAAATCAGGAAACAGAACTTTCAAATTGTTTATGAGAATTATTTTCCAAAAATACAGTAATAATGACATTTGGTAATGATTCCTTCTATCAAGTTAAAACAGTCTGCTTTTGTTTAAAAGAATAAAAACAGATTAAACTTAGTTGTCTATTTTGGTCCCATACCCACATATAACTGGTTCATCAAAGCAAACCCCAAACAAAAAAATTATTCCATTACAAATGATTCTTATAAACAATACATAGATATAGATCATTTTCACAAATTCTCAGTTGTAGTTCTACAATTGTTTTTGACCATGCTCCTTTCCTCTCAATTGCAGTCAATGGCATAACAGCACAACAATTGGCCCCTAAGCAACATTATCTGGGTGGACCCCATATGAAGTACAGCAACTCCCCCACCGCCAACCCACCCCCCTATAAGTAGACATGGAAATGGCAATCTTCACTCACTGTAGCAGCAATGTCCACCTCTCCCTCTTCGGTTCTTTGAAAGAATGTGTTTATTTTGGGAATTTTTTTTCGTTCTTCCAGCAGCTCTTCTTCGCTTTTTCTTTTCTGGAATACACTTAAGTAGCTCTTTTTGGTATCCATCATCGCCAACACATTGTACGTAACGGTTATGGTTTAAATCTACACTCTGGGTTACCCACAATTCCAAGTAATAGTGTAAAATACTCAAATACATTGTTCTTTTAAGATCTTTATTGCGGTTTCAACCATATTATATGAGTGTATTTTTTTACCAACCGTCTCATGAACTATACACAGTTATTAACATAGTAATTAAAAGTACCACTGTCTGCTTTTCTATTGGTGTCGTGTTTAAACGGCTCACCATCATGTTGAAATCTGGCATGTGTTGGGGTATAAATAAAGTCCGGTCAGTTAACCTAGTATCAGGTGGGTTTAAGTGAAATGTTTCGCACTATTCCATCTGCAAAGAGACGTTCTAGTCCACAATTGCGTAGGGGGCCTGCCAGGTATAAGTGAAGGGGCCCCTAAGAGGTTGGGGGCCCCTAAGCAACTGCAGTGTCTGCTTACAGATAGTTACACCAATGTATGCAGTGCTTTGTGCAAAAGTTTCAGAAACAGTTGGCTGTTTCTTAGCTGAGGTTTGTTGGTTTGTTCAGGGTTGTTCGTCCCGGAGAGACTGGCATTTTTCACATTCAGCTGAATGCCTCTGTTTAAGATGTTGAAAAGGGTTTATGGTGCTGTTGCCTGTAACTGCGACTGCCTTTATGTAAATGTTGCAGTGTGGGGTTTCTTGCTCCACGTCTGTCGCAGCAAACCCAAACCAGTTCCAAACAGCAGACGATTTTTTTCAGGACTAACTTCCCACTCTGACAGGTGTCCTGCCAAGGTAGTTATCCCTGCAAAAATTGTGTCTACTCCTTTCTCTGAAAGCCAACAGCTCCCTGTTCGTTTCAACACGTTCCTTTAAAAAATCTCTCGTTTCATGGTGTCTAAATGTTCTCATCCCATTGGAAACTATTGTCAACCATATAGTTGTAATAAAAATGAAATAGAAAATGACTATTAATTAAGACTATATCCAGCAGGTAAATTACTTTTTCCTATGTGACATTTAGTTCCTAAATCTATATTTGTTTTTTTATATTAGCTTACAATTTCTTTATGTTGTACTATCCTTAATAAACAGTGTTTGTTCTGACATGAGGCATTTTATTTCATCCCCTATTGCCAGAATTGGTATCCCCTTCAACTCTTCACATCCAACATCTTATCAAGTCTATGTTTTAACAGGTCTAATCATTTTACTCAATGGTTATGACCTACTGTTAAAAATGTACACAACTCTAAATTAGGTCTTATAATTATTTATTTTCTTGAGGGCAGTACAATATGAGAAAATATCCAATATGAATAAATTATTCATTCCACTTAAGAAAAACCCTAAGTGGATTCATCAGTTTCTCACTTAGCCCAGTTTCTTAACATAGGTGTATTCTTAGAGGGCAAAAATCATTCTCTGTACTTCTTGTTCCAGAGTCCGTAAACATAAAAAACCTGTACAACCAGGAATGATAAATGGTGTAAATGCTGCATATGGAACGAAACCAAACATTGACATCAGTGTAAAACATATCTACAAATAATAAAGTTATGATACTGCTCCATAAATGTATGTGCTTATCTCCAACAGTCTATGGGGGACTCTGGACATGTAGTCCATAGCAGGGCAATGTACAGACATGCAACCATGTAACTATGTTTACGAAAAAATCCATCCTGTCAATTATCTCAGCATTACGTTTTGCTATGCAAATATTGATTTCAAATAAGGCTGAATTAAAAAAAAAAAAAAAACTGCATAGACCGATCACGCTAATTCCTGTTAAGAAAATATTCCAACTGGGATGTTTTAAAAGCAGGAAAAATATATGTAAATGATTCAGAATAAAATGACCTCGTATGCGGTGATGTAGGTACACAGGTTTGTTAAAAGGTATAATATAGAAGTACCACGGCACAACAATGATAGTGCAAATTAGAAAATGTGCAAAACAATCCAGAACTACCTATGTAGATCCATAACACAATCAAAACCATGATTCAATAAGATCTATCACTTCATCATGAGGAAAAACTCTGTCTCATCTGTAACATTACTCAGGATAGATTGGTTACATGAACACACTGCAAATAATAATAATATCTAAATAAGTACATTTTTTCCTGAAATGAGAAGGGGGGGTATGAGACCCTTTGCCAATGGAACAAGACAATTTACATTTTAAATAAGAAATACAATTACATTGTCCTATTTCAAGTGCATATTGTCTAATTATGTTATTCTAAGTGTAAAAATGCTCATTCCATTGGCAACTTATCTTATTTACCTGCTCAAAATAAGGGTAAATACAGTTAATATAAGAAATTTTTACTTATTTCTAGATAATTTTGAAGCACATATATGACATGACATGTGCTACAAGAAATGTTTCTTGAAAACTTAAGTTAAGAATTTGTAAAACAAATTATCCACCATGGAAAAGTCTTTACTTACTTTTATCAAAGCTACAGCTGAGTTCATCTTGTATGTTTGTATCCTGACAGATAAAGATAAATTAATGCTTTTGCATACATTTATCTTTTTTCCACACCAACACAAACAGAAATGTCTCTAACTCCTCACTTAGATCTTCTAAACATTTGAACAGAGAGAGAGAGATGTTTCTTATATAATTGATTACAGCATCAGTGTTTTGCTATGTACAGTTCAAAAGGTCTTTGCTGCACGGTCTAGGTTTGTAGCCTCCAGTGGGATCTGAAACAGAACGCAGTCCTTTAAAGTCATCTTGTTATGACTTAATGTGTTTTACCTGCTCCCTGTACCTGGAGGTTTAACAGGGTCCCAAGCAAACCCTTTTGGCTTTCCTAACCTGTACAGATCAATATCTAGTCTCTTCTGTTCTTCCTCACTGCCGACTGTCTTGTAGTGAAGCAATGACATGGCTTCTTTACACACCTCCTGAACACGTTTGACCTTGTTGTGGGGGAGCGTTGTGCGCCAAGCTTGGGACACTTGAACAGCATCTCTGGAGTTAATCTGGAAAGCATTTTGTACCTTGACTTTTCCCTTTGCACGGGTCATATTATTTATCCATGCTGCCATCTCATCAGTCATCTCTAAACCTACAAATTCATAAATATCCTGGATCTCCTGAAGCGGATTACTTGTTACATCTTCATAACGGACCAATTTGTATCTACCTCTTAGAAACGGAGGAGGGTTCTGGGTGGCACTTTGATTGATTCGGATGTGGCTTTGGCAGATTTCTTGCATGGCTTGATAATTCTCCTCGGCTTCTGGTACTTTTTTATGTTCCAAGACAATGGCATTATCAATCTTGAATGCTAAGGCAGATTCTTCTTTAGACCGATACACAGCCCGAGGATCCCGGATAAGATGAATGATGCGAAGATCAAGGTTGGGGTCTTTAAGAAGAGGGTGAAGGGATTCCAGTTCAAAAAATCGAGTCTTTTTTAAGACCACATGGCTGTAGATTTTGCAGGCTTTCTCCACCATCTCAAAATGTCGACCATCACATTCCTTTTGGCACTGATCCATATTGCTTATCTGACCAAATGGTGTGAGGCCACAGACAGGAGGCGAGCACAGAGCCCGACTCTGGTACCACATAAACAAGGAGGACGCTTTTCTCTTATCTGACATGTAGGCATCCATCACAGAGAAGTCACATTGGTACAAGCTCCGCATTTGATCCCTAACAGCCATTCGTAGAGTCCTTGAACCAAAATTGTTCATTTTGCTCCAAACATGCCATGCAGGCTCCATGAGATAGAAAACTGAAGGGTGCTGACTGAACACTTGACCCATGAAGGATGAACCAGATCGCCATGATGAAAGGAGCAAAACGTGAACTTTACGGTCTGGAGGGGCAGAGTCTGCTGAGCCAAGCTGGTAGTACCAGTTGCAGAACAGCAACAATGCTGCCCCCTGCAGGAGCATGAGGAAAATAAAAACGCTGAAGTCAACTTTGAAGATGGATTTCATGGCTGAAAGTAATTTTTCGTTTCTGGTATATGCAGTTTGAGTAGATCTGCCTTTTCTTTTTGCCAGGAGACAGATGACCGTCTCTTCTTCAGGGAAAAAAGACAGAGAACAGAAAAATATATGTATTATATATTGAAGTATCCCCTTATGAACAACTATCATTAAAAATCTAAGCTTAGCACCATTCTGACAAAAAGCAGACAGTGCTCCTTTCTACTGAACTCTTAATCTGAAACCAGAAGGAGAAAATCTTAACACAATATGGGTTCATAGTGCATGCCATGCAGCTGCTCGACTAAATGCAGTATATAAAACTTGTTTTAGATTTATTTATATAGGAAGACTTTAATATTTAGATTCTGACAATGATGTGATAGATTTATTTAAATCCTTGACAGAAATAATTCAGATAGATTTTCATTTGGAATTGAAACTGATTATAAATGTAGTTTTGTTATTTGTTCTTTCCCTGCCAAAAGCAAATAAAAGAAAGGGCTAAAATAATCATGACAAATACCTGCTTTATTTTTCAAAAGGCACTTTGTCTCACATAGTAGCCTAGTATGAATTAAGTGGTGATTGTTACGTAATAAGACTTATTAGTATTGTTGATATATTAATTATTCTTGTTTTATGAGGCCTGATATATTTGCCTTCAGTTTTGTAGTGCGTTTTACTTTTTTATTTATGGAGAATCCCTGATATAAATGCTTATTATATATATATTCTAACTTATTTAGATGTGCTTGTATTTGATCCAAAAATGAAAGAAGAATTTTCTTTTGTAAAAAGGAGCTGCAACTTTTGGATAAAAAAAAAGGGTTTCCTAGGCAACTCTGATACCAGCTACATTATGGCCTCTTGTAAACATACTTTACATGGTTTCATGCAGAGGTTGTCTGATCTTTTTTCAGTTGAAAGTGTATCAAGACAGGCGGTGTCCTATGCCAGCACATTCTGCACATATTCAGCCATATCAGATTGGCTCACCTTTCTGAAAGTTATTTTCCATCAGACTTGTTTAGCTGGTTCTTGTGTCTGATGTCATCAGTGACATCAGTCTTTCAAATCAATCTTTTTTTATTTTAATCCATTGATTTTAATTCCATCAAATAAGCTGCACATTTTCATTAAGAACTAGGCTTTTAATTAAGGGAAGAATAAAATCTATATATCATTAATTCTACCACTGCTAATGATAAATCAAAAAATTGGATTGTAATAAATTAAACAGTTTAACAGTATAAGGGCAAAATGTTCAAAATTCTTATTCTTCTTTACACCTTATTAAGGGTTAACTTTAGCTCTTACCGAGAGCCTTTATCGACTTATTAAACAAAGCAAACTGAACCACTCCTTTAAAAAACACTGATAAAGAGAAATGTCATTTTCTGTTTCATTTGATTAAGGTGTTGCTGTTCCACTTAGCTGAATAAAAAACAAAAATAAACTATAAGTTTTCCTTTAGCCAGCAGTAAAACAAATAGTTGTTCTTTTTATTAGGCATCTTGTTGATCTCAGTGTGGCGTTCACCATTTAATGACATATATTTTTATATATTTTAATGCTGTAAAGCATCGTATAGTCTACCAACTGAGTTTTTACTCTTTTGAAGCATAATTCCAAAAAAGAGAACAGCAGAGATACAAAAAGAAAATTGTTAAAAATTTTAACATTATTATGTTTAACATATATTATGTTTTTTCCACGTTTTCTAACTTGAATGTCTGATTTTAGCCATGTATACATCTATATGTATACATATATATATATATATATATATATATATATATATATATATATATATATATATATATATATATATATATATATATATATATATATATATATATATATATATATATATATATATATATACACTATATTGCCAAAAGTATTTGCTCACCCATCCAAATTATTGGAATCAGGTGTTCCAATCACTTCCATGGCCACAGGTGTATAAATTCAAGCACCTAGGCATGCAGACTGTTTTTACAAACATTTGTGAAAGAATGGGTCGCTCTCAGGAGCTCAGTGAATTCCAGCGTGGAACTGTGATAGGATGCCACCTGTGCAACAAATCCAGTCGTGAAATTTCCTCGCTCCTAAATATTCCACAGTCAACTGTCAGCTGTATTAGAAGAAAATGGAAGTGTTTGGGAACGACAGCAACTCAGCCACGAAGTGGTAGGCCACGTAAACTGACGGAGCGGGGTCAGCGGATGCTGACGCGCATAGTGCGAAGAGGTCGCCAACTTTCTGCAGAGTCAATCACTACAGACCTCCAAACTTCATGTAGCTCAAGAACAGTGCGCAGAGAGCTTCATGGAATGGGTTTCCATGGGCGAGCAGCTGCATCCAAGCCATACATCACCAAGTGCAATGCAAAGCGTCGGATGCGGTGGTGTAAAGCACGCCGCCACTGGACTCTAGAGCAGTGGAGACGCGTTCTCTGGAGTGACGAATCGCGCTTCTCCATCTGGCAATCTGATGGACGGGTCTGGGTTTGGCGGTTGCCAGGAGAACGGTACTTATCTGACTGCATTGTGCCAAGTGTAAAGTTTGGTGGAGGGGGGATTATGGTGTGGGGTTGTTTTTCAGGAGCTGGGCTTGGCCCCTTAGTTCCAGTGAAAGGAACTCTGAATGCTTCAGCATACCAAGACATTTTGGACAATTCCATGCTCCCAACTTTGTGGGAACAGTTTGGAGCTGGCCCCTTCCTCTTCCAACATGACTGTGCACCAGTGCACAAAGCAAGGTCCATAAAGACATGGATGACAGAGTCTGGTGTGGATGAACTTGACTGGCCTGCACAGAGTCCTGACCTCAACCCGATAGAACACCTTTGGGATGAATTAGAGCGGAGACTGAGAGCCAGGCCTTCTCGTCCAACATCAGTGTGCGACCTCACAAATGCGCTTCTGGAAGAATGGTCAAAAATTCCCATAAACACACTCCTAAACCTTGTGGACAGCCTTCCCAGAAGAGTTGAAGCTGTTCTAGCTGCAAAGGGTGGACCGACGTCATATTGAACCCTATGGATTAGGAACGGGATGTCACTTAAGCTCATATGTGAGTCAAGGCAGGTGAGCAAATACTTTTGGCAATATAGTGTATATATATATATATATATATATATATATATATATATATATATATACATCTATATACATATAGATGTATACATATACATATATACATACAGTACATACATGGCTAAAATCAGACATTCAAGTTAGTAATAAGATTGTTGAAAAGTTGTGAAAAAAAATGATAAAAGATAGCTTGAGAAGTAATGGTATATTTAAATATTTAAGACATAGAAAATACACAAAAACATTTAATTGCTACCTTTTTTTGTTTGTTGTGTATAACTGATGACAATGGCTTCCTGCAGCTGTCGTCCTCTGCGCTGTCCCTCACGTTGGATGAACTCAAACAGAGCAAGTACCTGAAAAAGCCAGTAGAAACTCTGAAACAGGGAAGGCTCAATGGTGTTCATTAAATCCAAACATCCCGCATCACATTAACAAATGTTTAAATACATCAAACAACGAATGAAAACAGCTGTTGTGAAGGGCTCTGAAATAATAAACTCCAGAAACCACGGCAAGAGTTAAAAAACTGATGCCTGTTCTGGCTGAATAATCACATCCTTAAATATGTTTGCCAAACAGGATTGAGCAGCAAGCTTCACGGCTAACCCCTGAGGCTGAATTCCACTGGGTGTGGAGTGTTTCAGTGTATTATTCAATTAGAGCTCCCATATTTAGTAGTCAGCTGTGAACGTTTAAACCCTGCAGTGTATGCCTGGCTTTAATGTCCTCATTGTTACTGAGGTCAGACAAACCTGGATTAATCAGTCTGTCCAGTAATGACTGTTGTGCCAGCTTAAGAGAAGATTATGAATATATTAAATAATTAGAATTGGAAGTTATTTAATTAATATGTCATTCAAGGGTAAAGCCAGTTATTTACTATCAGTTGAATGATTTTAACTGTAATTTGCTTACTGACCAGGGTTTTAGCCCCTTTCCTAAAAGGGTTAGAACCCATGATTCCGGTTGTTCAAAATCCAGTTGTCTTTCACCAATTTAGTAATTTAGGTTATAGCTCTTAGCAATGTTATTAGTCAACAACCAAATAAATGTGTATCTGTTCATTCAGATGCAGCTGAAAGAAGAGTGAATCCAGACTGAGTGATAAATCGTTCACTGTGTTTTAAAAAAACACAAAAAAAACCATGGGCTAAACTATAATGGTACTTTTTTTAGCTGTGGATTTGGAAAGTTTTGTGTCTGTCTTGGAAGAGATATTTTAAGCCCAAGTGTTGTGATTTTACATTATATGCCAATCAGGGTTGGATGCCATATTTAAGTTGTGAATTTATATTCTATTTAATTCCCAGCCAGCTGAGAATGTATACTTCTAATATGTTTAAGATGTTTATTGCCCTCCCCGGTAGGGGTGGCAAGTATTTCATTTAATCAGACATTATTTCGGCTGTTATACACTACCATTCAAAAGTTTGGGGTCACCCAAACAATTTTGTGTTTTCCTGAAAAGTCACACTTATTCACCACCATACATTGTGAAATTAATAGAAAATAGAGTCAAGACATTGAAAAGGTTAGAAATAATGATTTGTATTTCAAATAAGATTTTTTTTACATCAAACTTTGCTTTCGTCAGCTTTGTTTATGAACACACGCCCTACTAGTTGTGTTAGAATAATAAATTAGTGATTCAAGCTCAAATCATGGTCAAAGAGTGAATTCTGCACATATATGGAATAAATTCACCACAACTTCTGTTCAAAATATAAAGGTTTGTTAACAAAACTCATTCAGCTCCAAGTCAAACATTTTTTATTTTACAACTCTTAACTAAGACTAATGAAACTCAACTAAACTTCTATGTACAAAGAGGAAGGGGAAACACGGTTGAAAACCATATTACAGTTTAAGATGGATCTTGTTTATCTGGAGGAATTTGGGATATGATCAAATCAGCTTTTCACTAATTTAGAGAAATTGGAATGTGTCATGATGGGATTAAGGTTCCTAACCCACATGCAGAACACAACGGAGACTAGGGGTGTAAATAATAATCGTTTTGTATCGATGCATCGATCCAAAAGCCGACGATCCGATGCATCGACACGTCCGCAAGATAATCGATTTATGTTTTTTTTTTCTCCGGTCTATTTTTATCCATTTGCTCCTGGGCGTAATTCTCCCTCCCGTGCTGCGGTGGCGCTAAACCTATTTTGCCCTCCTATCGCTCTTCCTGGTTATACTCTTACAGCAGTTTGTTGCAGCAAGCTTCACACAGACATTTTTAAATTATGCTCAGTATTGAAGCGTGGTCTGAGCTACACACTGTGGGTCTAGATACGGCCGAGGCGGTGAGGAAGTGGGGACGAGTTTAGTCCGACGACGGAGGGATATGAGGGCCAAAAAGAGCGGAGATTCAGCTGGAAAAAGGGTCCCAGCGGTCTCGCGCACCTCGCTCTTCTAGCGGGTCAAACTTCACGAGTTGTTTTCCGCAATTTCGGTCATAAAAACAAAACAAGCCGGCCTCCTGTCTGGTGCACTGTTTGCAGTCAGCTACAATCTGGGAGAGGTGCAGCGGAGCGTCTCTCAAGGGGGCGGTGACGTCAACACTCTGGAGCCTTCTTCTTCTTCTTTTTTTTAATGGCGGTTGGCAAACAACTTATAGGTGCATTACCTAGGGTGGCCATTTCTAGAAGACGTACGTGGGCGGTGACGAGCGGAGGATGTGGAACAGCTCTCATTGATTTACATGACAGACAAGTACACTGCACGACGTACGTGAGCGGTGCGGAGCGCTGACGGAGTATGTGGAATCTGGGGGTAAAGGAGGACAAATACACGTCCGGCTGGGTGCAGCGCCGGACGCCGGACAGTGCAATGAAAATCCGGACTGTCCGCCCTATAGCCGGACATCTGGCCACCCTAGCATTACCGCCACCTTCCAGAATGGAGTATGGACCAGACAAACTATTATATTCTCCCTAAAATACCCGTTCTTCTTAGAAAATTAAAAATACTACCAAAAACTACATCCCCAGATGACCTTTGAAACAATTCCCTTATATCTAGTTTATTTTTATTCCTGTCTAACTCTCTACGCAACATTTCTCTTTCCTGAGTATATTTATTACATTCTAAAAAAATATGTTGGACAGTTTCTCTGGAGCCGAGGTATTGCATTGAATACATTACACTGATATTGTGCAGTATTTTTGTAGTATTTTTTGATGCAACTTTTCTACTTCTGTTATTTGCTGTTGTTTCTAAAGAAAATGCATAATGATATTACAGCTTTCATTGATTTATTTCAAACTTGAAACTTTGTTTAGCCTGTAAGGTGTAAAAAAAATAATAATAATAAAAAAAAAATTAACTGATTAATCGAATAGAATCGTGGTGTATTCTTGAGTATCGAAAATAATCGAGTCGTTGGGTCAGGAAATCGATACTGAATCGAATCGCCATGATGGATGTGATTTACACCCCTAACGGAGACTGATGAAAAGTTTGATTGTTTATTAAGAAAAACACAAAGCACTGATGCTGGGAAACAGATCTGGGACTGGTCACACAGGGTTCTTTGGAGAGAGGGACAGTTTGGTTAGCCAGGATGCAGTTGATCTTGTCAGAGGAATTGTGCAGGTCTGTACCTGTGACGTGGTTCAGGCTGAGCAGCAGAGGGAGGGAACCAGGAGGGTCCAGAGGCAGGTGGTTGGCAGAGGGCTAAGCAACGACAGAGCTAGACTTCAGACTTGTCAGTGTTCAGGTCCAGGGTTTCTTCCAGTTCTCTTCTTTGAGAGCAGGCTGGCAGGTTTAGAAGTTTGATTCTTCAGATGTGCTTCTGAGAGCAGGCAGGCAGGTTTCAGCTGGGAAACTCTTCCAGAGTTCCAGGGTTCAGTAAGGTTTCTTCCTAAGAAGCAGAGAAGACAAAAACTGATTAGGTTCAGGTTCTGGTTTCAGGGGAGTCAGAGAATCAGACAGGCTGGTTGGCTCAGGCTTTGCTAACCATAACTGGCTTAACACTCTGGCGCTGGAGTGTAGTCCTGCCGCTGCTTATATGCTGGTCTCCGGATGAATGAATGAGGCACAGGTGTGGTCGTCAGCTCAGCTCCAGGAGACCTAGGGCGCCCTCTGCTGGAGAAAGGTGGACAGACCTCCAGATCCCAACAGAATGTTTTCAGACTTATTCACAATGCAGATCCATGAGGTGAATAAAACATTATTTGGTCAAATATCCAGCTTCAATAAAACATTATTTGGCCAAATAAGATTTGCTTAATCAGGAACCAATAACATCTATTTAATTATCCTTTACCCTCTTTGAAATAGCTAGCAGCGAATAGACATGAGGATTCCATTAAATGACTCTTGGTCATACTAGATAATCGAAATGTAATGAGCCGATGAGGAACATATGAACACTAACGTTATATCAGTGTTTAAGCCCTTAGTGAAATAAAGCTTGTTCCAGCTTCAACAACAGCTCAAAACATATTTGTGTAAGCGCAGCATGCAGTCCTTTCTGTTTCTGTTTACTCATCAGTAAAGACATGAAATGATCAACATCATCAAAAGACATATTGTTTGTCCTGTCCCGAAGTGTGCCAGACCTGCAAACCTTTTTTGTACATGTCTTTTTGAAAGGCTTGGGTTTCATCCAGCAGCAGCTTAGCAGTCAGGCTAACAGCAAGACAGGCTCTCTTGCTCTCGGACTCACAGCAGGGGTCCTTCTCATCCGGTCTGGCTCTATAAGTGTCATGATGGGTCTCAGAGTTAAGCCCAAAACACACAGAAACCGGGTAAAAGTTCAACAGAGTTTATTGTGGGACACAAGCACACGATAAAGAATAAGTTCTGGAACAGGTTCAGGGCTGCTTCACTAAAGTCTTGACTGGGACTGGAGACTGTTGGTTAGCAGAGTTCATGGGAAGCTAAGCGTCTAGCTTCAGGCTTAGCATGGCAGACCTTGATCTGAGCTTCCGGCTCATTGCAGAGAACAACAGGGAATATCCACATGGGATTGCTCAGGCTGAGCTTCCAGCTCATTGCAGAGAACAACAGGGAATATCCACATAGGATTCTTCAGGGTGATTCCACATAGGAACCTTCAGGTTGGCTCACCAGGGCAGATTAGCAGGTTAAGCTCTCCTAGAGCTTCAGGCTTGAGACTGGTTTCCTGTGATGCAGCTCTCCCAGAGCTTCAGACCAGAGACAGGTTTCCTGTGAGGCACAGACAAAGGAGAGATTAGAATCAGATCTCACACTAGAGACAACCAAGATTCAATCTGTAACAGAGGCTCAGGAAGCTAACCAACTAAGATCAACACTGCGGCGTGGAAGCAAGGTCTGGCAGGAGCTTATAAAGTGGAGGTCTCCTGATGAGTAGATGGAAATCAGGTGTGCTGGAAGGTTCCAGCTCCAGAAGACCCACGGCGCACTCTGCTGGAGACAGAGGGTAATCTCCAGATCCCAACAGTAACTCCAGCCTTAAGGGAAAATAACAAAGAGCAGAAGGGGATCCTCGGCGC